AGTGAGTTCCAGGCTAACCAGAGCTACATAGTGAAATCTTATCTCAAAAACAAAACAACCCAAACCTTCATGAAGTGAAAAGGCCCTTTGTCTTTTCCTTCTTCAAAAGAGCACATACACAATACTTTGATCATCTCCTGGCAGAGGCCCTAAGGTCCTTTCACGCCAGCTGCCCTCCTCTGCCAGAGAATGGAAGGTCTCAACCTTTACCGGTGTCGTCAGAGGAAGAAGTCTTTATTTCTCCCTGCTGGCTGCACATGGAAGTGGAGATGGTTCTTGTCCCTCTGAAGGAGCTGGTGTCAGCAGAGAGCAAGGAAGGGCTGATGTCATGAATGTGGATGGACAAAGACACGTTGCACATGCCTGGGCAGACTGACACAGGGCTATGACCTCTTTTTATTTATTTTATTTTATCTTTTTTGTTTTTCAAAACAAGGTTTCTCTATGTAATCCTAGCTGTCCTGGAACTCAATCTGTAGCCCAAGCTGGCCTTGAACTCAGAGATCCACCTGTCTCTGCCTCCCAAGTGCTGGGAACAAAGGCATGAACCACCAATGCCCAGTTATGAGCGCTTTTTTAAAATACCTGTGTAGATTTATTTTTATTTTATGTGTATGAGTGCTTGCTTGCATGTATGTCTGTACACCATGTGTGTGCCTGGTGCCTGCAGAGGCCAGAAGAGGGTGTTGGCTCCCCTGAAACTGGAATTAAGGTGGTTATAAACCATGATGTGGGGGCTGGGAACCAAACCTCAGCCCTCTACAAGAAGCGAGTGCCCTTAGCCATGGAGCCGACTCTGCAGCCGCTGCTATGATCTCTTACTAAAGAAACCTCCAGACCCTCAGCTAGAGAAGCAGAATTTACCCCTTGACTAGGCCAGATGTGCCGACAATAGAGCCCAAGAGTCGGAGGCAGGTGGAGTTCTGTGAATTTGCAGGCCAGCCTGATCTACTTAGTGAGTTCCAGGCTAACCAGAGCTACATAGTGAGACCCTGTTTCAAGTAAATAAATGAATCAGTTAACTTAAACCTCCTCCTCGCTCCTCCTGGGCTCCACTGAGAACCCAGCCTTGCGGGTGGGAAGAGGGATGAAGGGCCAGTGCCTTTTTCCTGGCCCTTGGATCTTGGCGACTGGGAGAGAGAGTGGAGTCCGGTGGAACATGAGGCTGCCTAATGTCTTCACCCCAGATTTTCATGAAGTATGGCCGGCAGAGGTGGAAACTGAAGGGCAAAATAGAAGTGAACGGTAAACAGAGCTGGGATGGAGAAGAAACGGTCTTCTTGCCCCTCATAGTTGGGCTCATTTCCATCAAGGTACAGTGGCATTGTTGGTGTCTTTCCTGGTGTGGTGGCCCCGTGATCCCTGGGTGGGGACCCTCCCTCCCACACACGGGCTTCTGTCCTTGCAAACCCTCTTGTCCTTGAACTGCTCTCAAAGACAGGAGACAAAGTAACTGTAGCAGAGAAATGTTTTTTAAAATACCTGTCAGATGTATTTCTGAAATAAGCAATCGATGGACTACGGAAAAAGGAAAATAACAGACTATTCCTCCTTGTCTCCTCCCGCCCTCTCTACCAGGTCACAGAACTCAAAGGACTGGCAACTCACATCCTGGTAGGCAGTGTGACCTGCGAGACCAAAGAGCTGTTTGCAGCCCGACCCCAGGTGGTGGCTGTTGACATCAATGACCTCGGTACCATCAAGCTGAACCTGGAAATCACCTGGTAGTAAGTTCCTGTTTTCAAGTTCATCGTAGAAAAGCAGATGCTGACAGCTAGAGCTGTTTGGGGCTGGTGTGTGAACCACAGTGTCAGCATGGAGCCGTGGCCACACCCAAACTGCATTTTCTCTTTCTACTTTCTGACAACCTCGTTTGATCCAAACCAGCCCCGTTCCCACTGGTCTGAGCTGATGTTGTCACAATGAGAAACCATCTTCCACCATCCTATGGTAGGCGACTGTAACAGCTCTGCTGACCTAGGAATCCACTGTTTTACAGCCCCTTTGATGTGGAGGACACAACCCCATCATCGGGCCCCGGGAACAAGACAGCCGCTCTCCAGCGGAGGATGTCCATGTACAGCCAAGGCACCCCCGAAACACCTACCTTCAAAGACCACTCCTTCTTCGTAAGTTCAGTGTGATTTCTGGCATAGAAATGATAAGGCTGGGGAGTTGTGGTAGGATTTGAAATGTTTCACACTCACAGCAGAGCTTTTCAAGAATAGGGGAGGTGGCTTAGCGGTCACGTGTTTGCTCTGCTGGCATGAGGGCCAGAGTTTGGATGGCCAAAACATACATAAATGCTGGGTGGGTGTGTCGGCCCGCCTGTAATTCCAGCCTGGGAAAGCTGAGACGGGATGTCCAGAGTGGGCTGGCTTGTGAGGCTAGCCATATCATAGAGCTCTGGGTTTGATTGAGAGAACTTACCTTGGGGAATAAAGTGAGAAAGTGATCAAGAAAGATTCCTGATGTCAACCTCGGGACTCCTCACCCATGCATATAAACATGCACATACACCTATACCCACATGCATACCACACATAAATACATGGAAAGAAGGAAAGTGATTCCTAGAGGTCACCCAAGTTGTGTGGTGACTAAGGACGCCATGTGCTGAGACACACTGGCCCTCTGAGTCCAGGGCTGGCTTCCTCTGCCTGTCTCTCCCTCACTCTACTTCACCTTGGGCTGGGAAATGGCATGTAGGTTTTTCCAGGCGTTCTTTGACGTTAATCTTTTCAAGTGCATATGAATGACACCTGCTTGACTTCACCAAGCCCTGCTAACTACTGAGGGAAACCCCGTTAACCTGCTGCTTCCCACTAACTTCCCATCTCGCCCTGATTTCTGAAGAGATGGTTGCGGCTGTCTGTCTTGAGTGCCTTGCGAGACACTTTCTTTGCCACGCTGCACCACAACCACTCTGTGGGTGACCTGCCTTCCCTCAGCCTGAACCCCAAGGCCCTGCTAGAATTCTATGTGAGTGCCGGCTGCCTGGAGTGCTGTGCCTGACTTCAGGGAGCCTGTGCATGCAGCCCAGCGGGAATCTTGTGTCTTATCTGTCTTGCTTGCCGGGTGAGGATAACTGTCCTGTCCTTGGGGTGGGAAGCATGGTCATGCATGCAACTTTGTCGTCCTCCTTTCCCAACAATTCCTGGTTTTGTGCTGTGATTTTTCTCCGTGGTAACAAGACTTTCACTTTTACAAATGAACGAACGAACGATAGTATTGGGCTGGGGATGTAGCTCAGCTGGTCGAGTGCTTGAGTCCTGGATTCCAAACTCGGTACCACATGACCAGATGTGGTGGGTGGTACGCCTATAATCCCGTCACTCAGAAAGCAGAAGCAAGGGGGTGAGAAGTTGAGCACCAGGGGCTGAGTTCCTATGAGGACGGGGACAAATCGTTATTTCCAGAGGTAACTAGTTTACCACAAGCAACGGGCTTCCAAAAAGCCGGCACTCAAGGACTCAGGAGGGCTTAGGCCAACTTCTTCAGAGCTACTTCTATTTAGCTGTCTTCAGTGGTTGCAGTATTTGTTTAATCTATCCTAGTAAAAGAAACCCTGGAATTCATAGAAACATAATAGGTAACCTATTTTCATGAATTACATATTATTTTTTAGGAGAATACATGGACAGGTACACATACATATGAGAAATGTTTTGCTCTTTGAAGAATAAATGTCATCTTTAATTATCCTGAAAGGAGATTAAAGGACTTCTGGCTAACAATAATAACAATAACAACAACAACTGTATTTCGTTCATTGAACTAAAAATGAAGGACAACATAAATGCTCATAGAATTTCAGATGAAAATAGGAAGACCATATGGGAAATGTATAAAAGTAATAGCAAAAGCCACTAGGCTGATACAGTTGTACATATAACTAACTATTGATGTGGTAGATATGTGGCTTGCGAGCCACTTTGTGGCTGTGTGATATGCCTTGGAGGGCTACAGGAATATTGAAGTTACTTACCACTCATGACAAAATACCTGATGAGAATCAGCTTAAGGCAGGACGAGTTTATTTGGACCCAGAGTTTAAGGGGCACATGGTGGAGAAGGTACGGTGGCAGCCATATGATCTAGCTGACCAAATTGTGTTAGCTGTCAAGAAACAGATGAACATTGGTGCTCAACTCACTGTCTCCTTTTATTAAGTCTGAAACCCTGTCCCATGAAATGCTGCTGCATTTGGGGGGCGGGGTATCTTCCTGACTCAATTAAACCTTTCTGGAAACACTCCCATAGTCACACCCAAAGGTATGTTTCCACAGTGATTCTAATTTACTCAAGTTGACAATGACGATCAGCCATTGTGGGAGAGTTGGTAGAAGGTGAACAGCATAATTTAAGCAAGGTTAGAAACACGGGATCACTTCCTATAGCATTTGGGAAAATACAAAGGTCCTCGGGGCAGCCATTTGCAGCTGTTCACAGCCCACCACACTGTCTGGACCATTTCTCCCTCTCCACTCTGCCCCTTCCGCATGTTCCACGGCTCTTCAAGTGTCCCACATTCTCTCCAGAACTCATATCTGTCTCTTTCTCCTGTCCTCTGCCTCACCAGTCTCCATGGCTGGGTTCTAGAATCATCTTTTCCCTGGCTGGGACCTTGATCTCATGACACTTCCCAATGCATCTTTTGTCAACCAAGGTAAAAAAATCAATCTAGCCAAGAGCTAAGAAGGAATTCTATGTCCCTGTCTATGAGGACTATGATCCCTGGAGACCAGCGTGCAAGGTGTAAGGAGACGGTAGCTGTTTGTAGTTTAAGCTTCCAGAAGGGTTACAACTGTGTGCCTCAAGAACTGTGATTGGTGCATGAGAGCCAAACTGTTTGGAGGGGGCGAGCAGTCTTGGGAAGCAAGGGGAACGGTTTTGCAGTTACCCAGGCTCGTGTATTTCCTTCAGAGCCGTGTGGGTAGTTTGCAAGGTCCGGAAGTAGGCGGTAGATGTGGAGAGTTTGGCTGTATGCAGATACTCCTGCCACTTCTAGAGCCCCGAGGCCACAGTACTGCACTTTGATTTCCTTCCTGTGTGGTGCCTGTTGGTAGGTGTGTGTCCCTCATAAACCGTAAGACCCTATGAGCAGCAGGGCACCTGAACTTAGGACCACTCAGTATTTGACGCTTAATAAGTGCAAATTGCCCACAGCTACTCAGCCCTGTGCTATATAGCCAGCGGATGCAGCCAAGGGGTGTGTGCACAGAAGTCCAGGAGAGGCTGGGCAGGCCTTCTTGAAGAACACGAGCCTTCAGTGAAGAGCCTTAGGGGTTTTTGGAGAAGGTCCAGCAGTTAGGGCTTGGATCCTTCACCCTTCTGTTCCACAAGCTTCCCCTTTTACCTTTACTAGAGGTATACAGGTGTAGCAGACTGTGAATGTGGAGGGAGCACCACACAAGGGAGCACCTCAGATGAGCGAGGAGGGAGACGAGCACAAGGAGCCTCTGAGGACTCAGAGGAGGACAGCCTCTCTCCTGCTTCAGTTAGCTCGCTCGCTGTCACTGTCCACTGCGATCATTCCTGGCATGACTGTGAAAATTCTTGATGTTATATAGAATTAAAATAGACATTAGCTTAACACTTACTCCATGTAGCTATCCTTGAGTTTCTACAGGGAACTGATACGAGGACCCCCATCAGATACCCAAATCCACAGAGGCTCAAGCCCCTTCCTTACATCAAATGGCATAGCGATCACACAGACCCTCCGTGCACCCCCTTGTACTTCAAATCATCTCCTTATGAGCTAACATACGACTCCGAATACAGTGTAACCGATGGGGAAATAGTTTCCCGACTGTAGTGAGTAACGGCAAGGAAAGGTCTGTACATGTTCCAGATGTGTCCCATCTGCGGTTGCTTGACTCTGCAGTTTAGAATCAGTAGATACGGAGAGGAATAGCTGTCCTTTAAAAGCCCAATCTGAGGACCAGTGAGGTGCTCAGTGGGTACAAGTGCTTCGCCACACAAGCCTGACACGATCAGTCGCTGGTGACATGAGAGAACTAACTCCACGAAGTTGTCCCTTAACCTCCACGCGTGTACCTTGACACACACACACACACACTCACACACACACTCACACACACACACACTCACACACACACACTCATGCCAATTATGAATAAACAACTTTTCAGTCTAATTTGGGAGCCAGGGTGATGAGTCAGTGGATAAAGCACTTTGCCATGAAGGCATGAGGAACTGGGTTCGGATATCCAGAACTCACAGAGAGCCGGGGTATGGTGGCGCAGACGTCTGTCATCCCAGTGCTTCTACAGTGAGATGGGAGGTAGAAGCAGGGCAACCCGGGGGAGCTCACAGGCCAGCTACCCCGCCACACTCCGTGGTGAGCTGGAGACCCTGTCTCAAACAAAGCAGAGGATGAGGACCAGTACCCAACGTAACCTGACCTCCACAGGCATGCTCATGCTCACATAAAGGTACACGCGCACACAAACTACAATAAAATAAATTTTAAAAGTCCAACCTGGAATGTAAGAAAAGAAAGCCACTTCTAAGAAGCTGATCTCAAATACCCAGTGAGCCTTTTCTGCAGGCAACGTACCTATAAACACAGCCCAACACAAAATTATAAGCTTAGTTAAGGCGCTGGGAGATTTTTCTTTTTTGTAATTTTTAGCACTCAGCTGGGGCATTCTTGGCATGAATTGTGTTAATTTTGTAAAAGACAACGTCATATCGTGATGTCAGAAGTTTGGACACCAGCCTGAGGGAAGACAGTGCTGACTTTGAACTTGCTCTGCTAGCAGGAACCAGCTGTCTTCGCTGGAAATCTCTTCCTGGGTGAGGCCCAAACCCAGGGCCTCACACACGCTGGGCCGACCTTCTACCCAGGGAGCCGAAGCCCCAGCTCCCTTGGCTGGTTATTTCTGACCAGAGCTTCCTGAAGCCTGACGCAGAGCATGCTTGACAGAGAACTGTTTCCAGAGACTCCCTGAGACCCAGGGTTCGCCTTCTGAGAGACAGGCGCCCCACCCAGTGGTCTCTTTTGTTTCTACAGAAGCCAAACAAATGTATTTCCAAAGTTTGGAATTTGTCAGTAGATATTTTTCAGAATACAATTGTTGAGAACTGAAGCAGAACAAATATCTCTGGAATAAAAGAACATGGGAGTGCAAAGTCTTTTAAGACACACACCCACATCCACACCCACACATCCACTGCCTTCACACCAAAAATAATAAATAAAAACATGGGTAGTGCTATTCAGTATGATGGTTGCCAAGCACTGTGAGATCCTGGGATTTATAAAAACAAGCGCCATCCCCACTCACCCTCAAAGTGCATGTGAAAAATGTCAAACCTAAGAACAGCACCAGGAAATTTCACCTAGATCCAGCAATGGAAGCAATTTTTAATGGTGTGTTTTCCTTTGCCTGCATACACACATATACCAAATAAGTGGTTAACGTTACAGAGTTTTCATCTTAATTGCCTTCTCTCTTGTCTGGAGATGAATCGTGCCAAATGTACCATGTCGTATCTTTCTCCACAGTCAAATCTGCCAGATGACATCTTCGAAAGTGGAAAGGCAGCGGAGGAGAAAAGGCCACTGTCCCTCAGCTTTAGTGACCTGCAGGACGGAGACTGTGTCTTCACCTCCAGCTCAGCCACCTCCCCCTCCAGCTCACACTCAGCCCATCCAGAGATCACCATCACCCCCGCTGAGCTCCCCCGGGGCAGCCTGTCCTCACAGAATGAGGGCACGGAGGACAGCAGCAGTTCAGCATCTTCCAGGCATTCCCTGGGGGAGGACCAGGAGCCGAAGTCCCACGCCAAGAGTGATATGGTAGAGCTCAGGAAGTCCAGTGTGGTTGCAGGGTCCCGGGCAGAGAGCCTGTTCCTGGAGAATAGTGTTGCCGAGGCTCTCCTGCAGGAGACAGATGAGGCCTCTGAGCTCAAGCCTGTGGAGCTGGACACTTTTGAAGGAAACATCACAAAGCAACTAGTGAAGAGGCTCACCTCGGCCGAGGGGCCCATCACCACGGAGAAGCTTGTCTTTGAAGGCTCTGTCGGTAGCGAATCTGAAGCTGGCCGGTCCTTTCTCGACGGCAGCCTGGAAGATGCCTTCCATGGACTCTTCCTGGCATTAGACCCACACAAGGAGCAGTACAAAGAGTTCCGGGATCTGAACCAAGAAGTCACGCACTTGGATGATGTCCTCAAAGTAAGTACCTTCCTGGAAAGTCTGATTCCGTTTGGGAAGAGGCATCCTAAACCAGTGCTGTATTTACAATAGCAGGTCTTATCCTGTCACGGGACCCATGTGTAACTGCTACCTAAGTGGAGTTGATTTTTTTTTTTTCAATTCCACTCGTACCTATCCATTTTTATTTTCCTGACAACAAATCAGCTTAGCTAAATTGATTAGGAATTTGGGTTAAACACTCTAAAGAAGGTCTAGGAATAGAGAGATGGCCAAGATCAGGTGGCCTGGACCTACAAGTCATTCTTAGAGTCAGGTTCCAGAAAGGAAGGACCTGGGGAGGAGAAGATAAAGAAGACAAGAAAAGTGAGGGTCAGGAGTTCTTGTGCCAAGCAATTTTATTAAGAAGTACAGCATTTTATATATAATTTTCAGTGAAAAAAATGGGACAGAGTCAACAGAAAACTATAATACGAGACAAAGTCAGCAGGAAGCTATTCAATAATGTTACACATAGGATATCTCAAGTCTCTCACAGACTGAGCACACGGTAATCTTGGGACTGATAACCATAGCCCTTTAGTAGGGAAGTGTTGGGTTCTCAGGATCTGAAGTCACAGTTCTCCCAAGGCCTAGGTCCCAGGCCATCAATGGCCATGCCAAGCACATTCCTCATTTTAAACAGGGAACTATATTTCTTCTCCATACATCAGGGCCTCAGAGAAAGCCTTGGATCAGCCTGGCGGCCCCCAACAGCAAAGTGTTTGCCATGAAAGCAGGGGACCTGAGTTCCATCCCCAAAACCCACATAGAAAAAGCTGAGCATGGCTTGAAATCCCAACAATCCCAGAAGCAGGTAGACCCCTGCAGTTTGCCAGCCAGCCAGTCTAGTCTCCTCAGTGAGTTCCATGGCAGAGTCCCTGACTCAAAACAAGACAGCACTCAAAAACAATGCTAGAGGCTGACCTCTGACCCACCAGTGTACACCCTCATGCATGTGTACACACACATCCCCCACTGCCTCCACACGCATATCAAGTCTAAATGTGAACTACTGGTGTTTGTTCATCATGGTCCCAAAGATGCTACCAGTTAGGGTCTTTCCAGGGGTACCAGGGAAGCTGGGGAAGTTAGCCCCAAGGTGTGGAGCCATCCTCTTTTCTCACAGTGCCATTTGCTGAGGGTAGTCCCACCTGAACTCGACCCAAATCAGCAAGCCGAGATCTCAAAGGAATCAGTAACAGTTCACCTTTGTTCATATACTAGAAGCCAGAGAACCACAAATTCCAACAAAGACACTTTCATCCATCCCTGGTGTCAAACAGGGTCAAGGTGTGAAGACAGGACATCTTAGTGATGATGTCATCACAGCTACATCAGAATGACTCTGTCTGTGCCTGACACACTGGTGAGAATTCTTTCTAAATGCAGCATAGGGAGGCAAGACTACATGGCCACTTGTTGAACTTTTGTTCCCCTGCTCTGGTTATATGGTCACATGGGATTCCTCAAATAAATAAACTTGAAATTCACTGCAGCAAGCTGAAAGCCAACCCATAGGAGGGCTCCTGTCCCTCTGTAAGATGGTTTCATGTGGCCTTTGCAATGACATCAGGAGCTACAGTCTTAAGACTGTATCTTTCTCTCCATTTGCTCATATTGACCTAGCTCCAGACAAGATTTGTGCCTGGAGCAAATGGTAATTTAGGCCTCCGACACTCCAGGTCCTCTGGTTTCACTACAGTTCCATTATAGAAAGAGCCTCTGAGAAGCAGGGAAGGACACGTAGAATCTGCTCTCTGTAGGACACATCTCAAAAATATGCACTCAGAGCTCAAGCGTGGAGGACTCTGGGGTGGCACTCCATCTTGCCTCCCATCTGCATGATTGACCAGCTTTGCCTCGTAAATAAGAGGTGCTCATTCCAAAGAGCTGAGGCACACGCCAGCCCCACTAAAGGAGGTGCCTTGAAGCCAGGTGGTGGTGGCACACGCCTTTAATCCCAGCACTCGGGAGGCAGAGGCAGGCGGATCTCTGTGAGTTCAAGGCCAGCCTGGGCTACAGAGCGAGTTCCAGGTAAAAGGAGGTGCCTTGAAGAAAGACAGTGATGGGTTTTATTCTCCGGTGAGAAGGGTGAGGATCCAACAGCCTGTCTAAGGCGCTGATTAGGCTCAGCTCATCAGGATACGCTGGGCTCATTATCTGTCCATCTTATAAAACCGTGTGGTCTCAGAATCCTTTCTGGCTCATCCCTGTTCTTGTCCAGTACTGTCCTGATACTGTCTAGTGAAACCCTCATCCGCCTGTCTGTTTGCTGTGGCCAATGTTTGAAGCCATCATCTTGCTACACAGATGGCTGGCTTAGGAAAGAAGACTCGAAAGACAGGCCAAGTCCACGGCACTTCCGCTTTTCTCCCTGAGATCAGCAGCCTCGTTGGGAGCGTAGGTGTGGGGCGAGTGGCTTCCGCAGGACAAAGCTCTCTCTTTTTCTTCCTCCTTCACATTCCTAGGATGCTAAACATCTTGAGGATCAGAGACTCAATGAGGCTGCTTCCCGGACGGAGATCACTGAGGGTGAATGAGACAACCGTGATTTAAAAGACTGAAAGACATTCCCCATGTGCTTCTGTGCCATCCCAAGTGTCTGGGACAGATTCCCGAAAGGCCCTTCCTACCTTGTGCTAAGAATCAGCACGGGGATCCTCCTAGCCGGACAGAGGACATTTAGTGGATCTTCTTTGCAGGGCTTGTCCTGGTCAGCCCACCTCAAGTCCTCTTGAATATGTGGATATGCTTCTCTCTGTCTCCAGGCCTAGCCACTGGCATTGCCAGCCAGCTGTGCTTCCGGTTACATCCTTCAACCTGCTGTAGAAGGAACTTGTCCCCACAATTCCAGGGCCTGGCCAGAGGGGTCATGGGACCTGTTCCTTTCAAGGCAGACGTCCAGGAAACCAGGGCTATTTTCCCATCATGACCAAGTCACTCATTTGTTCCTCTTTGTGCTCAGTGCTCAAGAAAAAAAGCATCTTTGAATGGAACATGGCAATTTTCCATGTTTTCTTCCTAGTCAGCCGGGGGGCAGGTGTATCTGAGCAGTTTCCTTTTCTGGAATTGGTTTTGTCAGTTCTTTACAGCATACTTTAGACACAGAGCTCCAGGCGTGGCACTCTGTGGCAGACACTGTTCTGGTTAACAGTCAGCGATGACTCAGTGGCTTTTAAAATTTGTCTGCTGGATTGATTTAAAAATAAAATGTTTTTGAGACAGTCTCACTCTATTTAGGATGGTCTTGAATGCATGAGCTCAATGGTGCTCTCAGCTCAGCCTCCTGAGTGCCTGGGGCTGCAGGTAAATGCTATGGTGCCCGGCTTGCTCATTCTGTTTTATTTGGTCATGAACACTACACCAAAGGAATACATCACTTCTGTTTCCCAAGATTTTCAGGTCATCGTTTTTTAAAGTTGTGATTGTAGTAATACAACTTAAACATAGGTAGATTCTGCCAATTACCCAGTGACCACCCCCACTGGCCCCCCCAGTGACCCAGTGACCCCCAGTGGCTGACTTATTCTTCCTGTGTACTTCTCTCTGGATTCTTTTAGACCAAATCACAACTGTTGTGCCATTTTCTCTGTGGTTGTATTTCTTTTTCTCAAGATGAAGATTTTAAATGCCAACCAAAAATAAAGGCTTAGAAAACTATGAGAAAGTGTCACGTTGCCCATGGCTGCCCCGGGTCCTGCCGGTCCCCCTGGTGTGTTGATGGTCTCCTTGGTACCTTCTGCCTCTGCAGTGCAAGCCGGCAGGCAGCCGCAGCAGATCCTCCAGCCTCAGTCTGACGGTTGAGAGTGCGTTAGAAAGCTTTGATTTCCTCAACACCTCTGACCTTGATGAAGAGGAAGAGGACGGGGATGAGGCCTGCCACGTTGGAGGAGGAGGAGCAGACTCCGTGTTTTCAGACACTGAGACCGAGAAAACTGGGTGAGTATGGAGACCACCTGAGCTTACGTTTCTCACATCACAGCTGATACAGTCACCCCCACGCCGTTACTGTCAGGGGCAACCTGGTACACAGCTCCAGGATGACCCAACCCTTGCCGTCATGTCCACCCTAACAGGCCACGTGCAGCCACATGTGGCCCAGGACAGCATGAGTGCAGCCCACACAAAAATCATAAACTCACTGAAGACATGGCATTATTTTGTGACTTTTGTTAATATCTAGATTGCATGGTTCTTGAGCATGGACTTTTGTAGATGACAATATTGTGCCAAAATGTCAAAAGGCTGGGCACACCTGCGGGATGACTTGACTTGCCGTTCCTTTGGATTGTCGAGTACACCTTCTAAATATTGCTGACCGACTGGAGGTTGCATAGGGAACACAAGTCCCTTTTATTTCTTACAAGGAGAAGCATCTGTGTGAGTTTGTGTACACGGGCAAGTGTCGTGTAGAATGACCACACGCAGGACATTCTAAATTAGCCACACCAGGCGGCACCAGACTTGGACCCACCGTCCTGCTGTGCCTCGTCCTTCCAAAGCCTTTGATTGGCTGAGCTGTTTTCTCAGGGCCCTTCTCTCTTTCCTTCAGCTCCACCTCCGCACGAGGTGGAAATCACTGGTGTGCCTCCCAAAGCCAGGCTTCAGTTCTCCTGGAATGCAAAAGCGGATGCTTGGCACTCCATTAGATCTGTGTCCCTCCAGGTAGAAAATGTGTCACCTGCACCAGGTGTCCTCCCTCAGCCAAGCCAGTGTTCCCAGAGCCAGGTCCTGGGCCCACTGTGTGATTCAAGAGAAACTTGATGGTCAGCAGTCACCTGCTAGGAAGAGTCCACCGCCATGTAACAGAGGAAGGGGTGGTCTCCTCTGGCTTTACCTTTGGTACAACGGAGGACATAAGAAGGTTTCCAAATTACAGCAGATCTGGCTGTCCGACCTCACAGAGCTGTCAGTGAAGTGCTGTTATTTTTGGTTTTTATTGTTGCTGAGAGGTTTCCTTTTCCAAAATAAGGCCAAGTTTATAGATACATAAGAACAAAAACTTATTCCTTGAGCAAACTGGGAATAAAAGGAAATAAAATGTAGAAAACGTGGTATTTAATTTATAGTTCTTCATGCTACATTGATATTTCTTTGGCTTGACTGAATTTACAAAATATTTCTTCACTTAAACTTTTCTATACACCTGCTAGCTTTTGCTGTTGTATATAAAGATCAGGTAAAGCTCTAAACTGCAGCATTTTAACAAATATATCACCTCTTTCATACACTTTACGGAACATTGATTTTAAATCCATCTAATCAAATTGGTCTTATTGTATGTTATCAGAAGCAATAGGAAGAGGTGTGTGTGTGTGTGTGTGTGTGTGTGTGTGTGTGTGTGTGTATATATATGTATGTATGTGTGTATGTATATGTATATATTTGTGTGTGTGTATAGGAGAGCATGCACACCCATTAGAATGCATGCATGTACATGCATGTGCACATATGTATGAAAGTGTATATGTATATATAGACTGTGCCTGTGTAGTGTGTGCATTGAGAGTGATTGGCATATACATGCACAAGTGTGTGTGTGAGTTGTGTACATGTTCTAAGTATGTGTTGGCTGCCAGTACGCAAGCAAGCTGAGCATGGTTCTTATGTGAAAAATGTGTACAGAGGCAAGCATTCAAAGCTCCTAAGATTTCTGTGTGGTTGTGGACACTGCAGATCGTGAGGCAAAAGGCCAAAGGCTCTGCCACTGTGTACCCGTGTGCACCAGGCACTCTTATCAACATCCTTGCTACTCAAGCCATCCATGTATGAAACGACACGATCACCCCTCCCACCTGCGCATATAAAAAATAAAACTGGGGCACAGAGAGGGACACAGGGAAAGGGAATGAAGGAAAACAAAGTATAATGACACACGGATATGGAGATGCCACAGTGATCCCACTTTTTATATGCTAATCTAAAGAAATTAAATTTAAAAAAAGCAGAAAAAATATTTCAAGATATTATTAGGCCAAATATATAAATAATTTAAATGCTAAATTTTGACACAATTATGAAAAGGATGGTTAGCTCTTATAAAGTTTCTGGGTCTTTCTGGGGCTCCCATGATGCATACCAAAACTTCAGCAGCACCAACAAGATATCTCAGCGGGCAAAGTTCTTGCTGTATGAGCTTGGCAGCCTGAGCTGGCTCCCCAGCACCCACATGTGGATGGACAGATCCAACTGGACAGAGTTGTCCCCTGGCCTCCAAGTGCACACCAGAGCACAGGGACACAGCTTCACAGAGTTAAATGAATGCAACATAAAAGAATGCAACACATCTTTGCATCATTAAACAAATGTTCCACAGCATAAACAAATGTAACACATCTTAATATTCTGCAACAAAGAAGTTCATGGAGATTCATAGACTTTGGGTCTGGTTAATTTTGGTGTATAACAGCTTTGATTTATAAGGATTCTTACGATGAAGGCTATGTTCTAAAAAATCATTTTTAAAAAGAAAATTCTATGTATTCAGATCATAAAATAATCAAATAACCCAGATAAATATAAGACTTATTTGTAAACTTAAAAACCATAAAACCAGGTTGGGGATTTAGCTCAGTGGTAGAGCGCTTGCCTAGCAAGCACAAGGGGCTTGGTTTGATCCTCAGCTCAAAAAAAAAAAAAAAAAAAAAAAAAAAAAAAAACATAAAATATGGCCAGCCATGGTGATGCATGCCTTTAATCCCAGTACTCAGGAGGCAGAGGCAGGTGAGTTCGAGGCTAGCCTGGTCTACAGAATGATATCCAGGACAGCCAGGACTACACAATGAAACCTTGTCTTGAAAAACCAAAAATAAAGAAATAAAAATAAAACCCATAAAAACCCATAAAATAAAACAATGTACTTCCACTGAAAAAGAATAAACTGCCATAGTGAAATCCACCTGTAATCCCAGCACTTAGGAGGTAGAGACAGGAAATCAGGAACTGGAACTCATGGCCAACATCAGCTACATGGCAAGTCAGGGCTATGTGAGACCATGTCTCAAAAAGAGAAAGGAAGGAAGAAAATTGTTTAACACACGAAATCAAACTTTTTAATGTGTGTCCATTATGATATAACCTCAGACAGTGTGCATGGGGTTTAAAGAGAGCCTGAGAAACAGGACTGAGCCGAGATCTGCATAGCTAGACTCCCCTTCCAGCTGTTCACAGCACTGTCTGCCCGTGGCAGCTTTTCTTTCTTCTTGTCTTCAAGTGGCAATTGGCATGAGGCCAGGTCAAGGCCTGCGAGATCACTCTTTAATGGAATCACTCACAGGAAACCACAAACACAGGACTGTTGAATCCCAGAGAAGCTGGCAGCTCCCCGGTCCCCAGAGTGGGCAAGTGAGGCGCGTGCAGGATGAGGGCATGATTCAAAGACTTCCCAGGGAAACTGCTTCACAGAGAGCTCACTGTGCTCAGAAAGCAAACGGCAGCCTACGTTCGCATGGTCTCTGGATACCTGGCGAATGGGCAACGGTAGCTGAAATAAGTAATTCTCAAAGGTATCTCTGCTTTTGAGAGCAACCCGGGGAAGGACAGTGATAAGAATTGGAACCCTAGTTGCTGGGTTCCTCCACCGCTGATGCAATAAACCAAATGAATAAATCCAGATTTAATAAACAGGGCAATGCAAAGCAGAGTACTCCCGGGTGACTCTCAGGAAGGCAGGAGGCAGAACATGAGAGCACACGTGGCAGATCTATGGGCCGGATCTTAAACAGCCGGTAGGCGTGGTCCCGGGCATCTCCGTGGGAGGAGCCGCAGATGGGTAGCTTTCCGGAATGGGGCAGAGTCTGGGAGGGAGAGAGAGGTAGGGATTCCACCTAATCGTCCCCGACTCTTTGAGTATATGGATGCCAGGGCTCAGGTGGAGCTTCCACCAGAACAGACGATTTCAGTGGGGACCACATAAACTTGGCCTGAGGTTTGGGCACAGAAAGAAAGAACTTGTGTTTCACTCACTTTCCGGCTTCACAGTTACAGGTCAGTTCACCCGGAAGCCAGGGGCCACCTTAGCGAAGCTCTGACTGAAGACACAGGCGTAGGGACCAGTGTGGCAGGGAGCCCGCTCCCTCTGACCACAGGAAACGAGAGTCTGGACCTCACCATTGTCAAACATCTACAGTACTGCACCCAGCTCGTTCAGGTAGGATGCATGGCGTGTGGGGGATGAGGATGCTGACATGCCAGGAAGGTATACATGGTATGTGTTTCAGCTTTGCCAAAGAAATGAGAGTCCAGAGGTTAGAAAATGTACATGTTTTGATTTGAAGCAAGACAAAAACTTGACGGACATGTCCACCTTTTTTTTTTTTTCAAGGCAGGGTTTCACTGTGTAACAAACAGCCTTGCCTGTCCTGGAATTAGCTCTGTAGACCAGGCTGGCCTTGAACTCACGGAGATCCACCTGCCTCTGCCTCCTGGGTGCTTGGATTAAAAGTGTACACCACCACCATGCTTGTTCACCCTTTCTTAAGCCTGGGTTTTCAATTTCAAGTTAAACCTACGTCTGAAGACTATAGTGGGTGCCAGGCAGAATACTCACTTCTGGGTAGTAAAGGAGAGGGACTGGACAAAGGGAGACAAAGCTGCCATCTACAGGCGGAGTTGGAAAACAGCGTTAACTAAATAGATATTAATGTGATGTTGAGTTCATTTCTAACCACATGTAGCACTAAGAACAATGTACTACAGAAGCAGGTCATTGTTTCCCCAAATAGCGAATGGGAAAGTTTTTTTTTTTCTTAAAAAAAAAAAAAAAAAAAGCCTGATGCAAGCCAGGCTGTCCTCATACCCACTACATAGCTGAGGCTAATCTTGAACTCCTGGTTGTCCTGCCTCCAGCTCCCAAGTCTGGGATTGCAGGCTGGCTCAGACTAGTAATTCTTATGAGCAGTGGGAAGGAGCGTTCCTCCAGGTCATCTCCTCACCACTTAGCTCTCACACTGGAGCACCACAGGGCCTTCCTTCTTCCTTCTCATTCTCCAGTTCAACAGAAATTGAAATGCTTACACCTGAGGTATTGCAGTCCCAAAGCAAATGCTTTGAATGTCTTTTGAAGCAGGAAGGCTGTCAGCTGTCCTGAACAGGACACTTTCCCAGAGGCCTGGATTGAAATGCTTCCTCCTTGCCTGGCTCTTTTGCTTCTCACTGCCTTGATCTTCTCCCAGATTGCTTGGGTGTGTGTGGGACAGGATAAGAACAGAGAAACAATTGTAATCACAGCTTTACGGAAATCAGCCACTCAGGCCACAGAAGGAAGAGTGGCATGTCCCTGAGCCAGCCAAAACCAAGTGGCAGGGAGCGGAGTGAGGGAAGGCCAGGAGCTGGGCGGTGCTGGTCACACATTTATGTGAAATATAGAAGAATATGATTTTCCACCATGAGTAAAGACACTACCTGAGCATAGTGGCGCACGCCTGTAATCCCAGCACTTGGGGGAGATACATGCAGGAGGATCAGAGTTCAAAACAAGCCTGGGCTACATAGCAAGACACTGCCTCCAAGAAAAGAACCGCCTGATGGGGCAACTGAGACACAGAGGTGATGCCTGCATGTGCCAGGGGAAATGGGCTGCCTGTCAAAAGCCTGGCGTCTGGCAGACCTGCACTGTTTGAAGATCTTTTGAGTATAAAGGCTCTCGCTGTGACATGGACAACCAGCCTCACAGAGGCCGTGTTTCCCCTGCCTGGTAAATGTGAATAAACTGAACTAGATATGGTACTCAGGCCTACAATCCCAGCACTTGGGAGGCTGAGGCAGGAGGATTGCTGCAAGTTTGAGGATAGCCTGGACTACAGAGTCAGACCCTGTCTCAAAAAAAAAAAAAAAAAAAAAAAAAAAAGGATTTTTGTTTCCTTCTAACTACTCACTATTCACCAGCTGCCGCTATTTACCTGATTAAGATTCTTCCGGGTCTCTGATTGTCTTCTCTGACTCTGATAATGTGCTAGGCACACCACCAGCCAGCCTTTGAGAGGTGAAGTGCTCTATAAAACCTAAAAGAAGTCTCTTCCACGGAGGGGGAACGTTTTCTCCCGAAGGTTGACTGGCACACAGCAGTCAGTGCACTGTCCTCTCTGGCAAGGCCATGTGTAGAGCTCGGAGTGGCAATGGAGATGTCAACAGGAGTCTCCTCATTAGGTCCTTGTGAGCTTGTGTGCGCTCACACATGTGCAGAGCTCAGAGTGGCTCCAGGTACATAGACAATGCTCTTGGATTACTCAGGAAAGGTCCGACTACGAGAATGACCACATAATATGCTCTCAATTTTCAGTTTGGAAAGTCAAGGAGATTGAGATTTACATAGAAAGGCAGAGCTGAGCGTGGAATTTATACCAAAAAAACCCCAGCACTTGGGGAGCTGAGGCCTGGGGGTTATGAGTTTGAGGATAGCCTGAGCTAATCATTCCAGGCCAGTCTGAAACACGTGGTAGACCCTGCCTGAAACAAGGAAGGAAAGTGGGAAATTCGCGATAATTAGAAACGCTGCCACTGAGAAAATTCCAGAACGTATACATAAATGAAAAGGGTTGAGAGTGACAAAAACAGGTATCATTTCATGAACTGCAGAGAATGAAGAACATTGTCGGGCCGGGACAAAAGTGTCGCAGAGGTCAGCCTGGGCAACCTCTTTGGGAAGGGCGCAGAGGGCAAGGTCACCACCCTCGACGTCATTAAAAGGGCTTTTATTTGTCTTGTCAGCAAATCGTCTTCTCCAGCAAAACCCCCTTTGTGGCACGAAGTCTGCTGGAGAAGCTAGCGAGGCAGGTCCTGGTGATGGAGAAGCTGGCTGCAGTGAGCGACGAGAACCTTGGGAACATCACCTCTGTGGTGGAAGGTAAGTGCGCCACCTGCAGGCCGTCCCTGGAACCGGAGCACACAGACCCGCGCCCGCTCCCTGGACGGCAGAGGAGCAGCAGCCTTCTCAGCCAAGCCAGAGGCACACAGCTTTTTCTGTCAAAAGCAGACGAAACGCACACACCGAAATGGCACCCACCTCCAGGCAGAGCTTCTCAGACATTTTCTGTGCCCAAGATGGCCTTTAGGCCAGGTAACCTGTATTGTTTTAAGTAGCACACGGAGTTGGTAAATCCGACCCTCATAGTGGATGGTGGTGGAAGAGAATCAGCAAGTCCGTAACCTGCAGGGCAGGCTGGCTCTGAGAGCGTCTGAAGCAGAATTCTGGGGGAGGGTGCAAAGTGTGTGAAGATCAGAGGTCAACTTCAGATATCATTCTTTCTCTCTTTTTTTTTTTAAAGTATTTATTTATTTATTTATTTATTTATTTATTTATTTATTTATTTATTTATTATGTACACAGTGTTCTGTCTGCATATATTCCTACACACCAGAAGAGGGCACCAGATCTCATTTTAGATGGCTATGAGCCACCCTGTGGTTGCTGGGAATTGAACTCAGGAACTCTGGAAGGGCTGCCAGTGCTCTTCACCTCTGAGCCCATCTCTCCATATATCATTCTTTAGGAGCCATCCACCTTGGTTTTTGAAACAGGATTTCTCACTGCCCTGGAGCTCACCAAGTCAGTTAGGCTAGCTGGCCAGCAAACAACAGGGATCCTCCTGTCTCTCCCTCCCCAGCACTGAGGTTCCGAGCACTATGTCACCAGTTTTTTTAAATGTGGGTCCTGGGGCTCAAACTCGGGTCCTTGTGCTTTCAAGGCAAGCACTTTAATTGAGCCATTCCTCGGCTACAAAAGCAGAACTTGGCATGGGGAAGATGCCCTTGACTTTTTGTTATCTGACCACTGGGCTCCTTCATAAAGGCAAGGGCTTCTCTTTTTCACATCAGATATAAATGGAAATACAGACTTCTGGGTAATCTGTGACTGAGCCTAAAACTCCCCTGAGGGTCTCCCTGTGGATCTCGGCCTCTACTGTCTATTCCTGCTACGCAAGGTGACCTTGGCAGTCGTCTAAAGGGTGGGAGAATGGCAGATACTCAGGCTGCAAACGACTTGTGTCCCAGGCTCCTGCTGATCACAGCCACCCAGAAGTGTGACTGTGAGCGGGTGCCATCCACTGCTGTACGGTTTGCTCATTCTGGCCTGAGAGCCACAGGGCAGGGAAAAGGCTCCTCCAGCAAACACTGCTGTGTTTCAGCCCTTCCAAGGGCTTCTCCTGAAATCTGCATCGCTGATCCTGTGTGGTTTTGCTATAAAGTCACAGGCGATAATCGTGCTCTCCCCAAGACAGAGCAGCCTTCTGTCTTAGAGAGCAAACAGCTAAGCATTCACTGTGTTCTCTTTGCTAGCCAGGGAGGAGGGTTTCCTTTGCACCACCTGCCAGTCCCCAAAGAGTCTTGTAGTAGTTCCAACTGAAAACCACAGTCTTCATGGCTGTGGTGATATATCTAGTCTCAACTACTCAGGAAACTGAGGCAGGAGGATGGCCAGTTCAAGGCCAGCCTGTGTTATAGAGTGAGATCAAAGCTAGCCTGGCAAGACCATTTTTCAAAATCAATGGTAAAGTGATGGCTGGAGATATAAGTCAGTAGTAGAGCATTCATGGGATCCTAGGATCAATCCCCAATAACACACACACACACACACACACACACACACACACACTCACACTCACACACACACACTCACACTCACACACACACACACACACTCACACTCACACACACACACACACACTCACACTCACATGCACACATACACGCACACGCACACTGGTATGCACCCATGTGCTTGAAGAATGAAAGAAAGGAGGAAGAAAGAAAAGTTGCCTGGGGTAGACGAGAAGATTGGGAGTTCAAGGTTATCTTTGTTTGAGGGCCAAACTGGGTTACACAAGACCTAGTCTTAGATAATTAATTATATTATATTATATTAATTAAAATATTTAAAAAATAAAAGTACAGTCTGTAAAAAACACAAAAGAAAAGCTACAATGTCCCTGGGGACACCTTGCCCACCCCACCCAGGCAGCCACCTTCACCTGTTCATCAGCATCCCTCTTTTCCAGCCATCCCGGAATTCCACAAAAAGCTGTCCTTACTGTCTTTCTGGACCAAGTGCTGCAGCCCGATGGGGGTCTACCACAGCTCTGCCGACAGAGTGATCAAGCAGCTGGAGGCCAGCTTCGCCCAGACTGTCAACAAAGACTATCCAGGACTGGCAGAACCAGGTACAGCCTGCAGTGAGGCGGCCTCCTCCTCCTCCCCTGCCACCTGGGTAGTGGGGGGCACGCAAAAAGGCCAGCCTGGAAAGAGATGTACATGCTCTCCAGGGAAGAGATCCGCTAGTCAGCTAGACTACAAAAAGGTGCCGAGCATGCAGGGTGCCAGCGGTGGCTTTTTTTTTTTTTTTTTTTTTTTTTAAGGACTGTATTCATTATTTTTTTCTCCTGCTGTGACAAAACACCAGACAGAAGCTGCTTGTAAAGGAAAGGTATATTCTGGTCCCACCTCAGCAGGTACAGCCCATCCTGGCAGGGAAGGCTTGGCAGCGGAAGCGGGTTGGTCCCAGGTGGAGGGAGCATGTGGCTGGTAACAGATTGGAAGCAGAAATGGGCCCGAGTTATAACCCCAAGGCTCACCCCAAGGCCATGGCAACCAGTTAACCCCTAGGTTCCAATGCTCCCACAGCCTCCCAAACAGCACCACCAGCTGAGCACCAAGTTACACTTGAGCCTGTGGGAACCATTTCACATCCAGCCCACAAGTACTCCATGTCTGTTTTGCTGCTCATGTTTGAACAGTTGTCCCTTGGTGTCTGTGGGTGAACGGTGCTGGAACCTGCCATGCATGACTGAATCTGTGTTTGCTTACATCCCTTGCTTATACCGGTATGGGTTTGTATATGACCTCCACACTCCCTCCTGTATATTCCAGATGACTTATAACACTTGGGTAGGCAAACACCAAGTAAATGGTTGTTAGATTACATTGCTTGGGGAGTGAGTGCATTTCCAAGGCTCTACGTGTTCAGCATAGATGTGCTTTTCCCTGGGTGTTCTTGGTCTGCAGTGGCTTAGGTTCATAGACGTGGGACCCATAGGCCTGAAAGTAAGCTCTTCCCATGAAAGTGCCTCCGATGCAAAAGTGTCGGATGGTACAATGACTTTTGAAGAGTCGGGAGTTTCTATGGAATCCCAGTCTGTGCCTACAATATGAGCCAGCAATTCTTCTCTTAATTCTCCTCTTAAATGCATGAAGAGAAATGGGTTTTCCTAAGCACTCCTGTCTGTGTAAGACATGCATAAGAAGACTTAGAGCTTTGGTCACAATAGCCAGAATTTGGTGCCAACTCAAATGCCATGTGAAAATGGAGATACTATAACAAATGATATCATAGAGAATCATGTAGCCCTTCTCGGAGACTCTATTGCTGTTACAGGTGATATGTTACAGGCAACATAGTCTCTCTACAGGTGAGTCTCATAGAGACTATGTTGAGTAACATAGACAAGACATAGAAAGTACATACTGTATATACTGTTGACATGAAAGTTCAAGAACTGTTGACATGAAAGTTCACACTCACTTATGTTGATAAAACTCAAGTTCTGAGGCTGGGCATGATGATGAACATCTGTAATTGTAACACCTGGGAGATGGAGGCAGGAAGATCAAGAGCCTAAGGCCAGCCTTGGATACATGGCAAACCTGGGCTCTGATGCCTCAAAAACAAAAACAAAAATGGAATTCAGGTTATTTGTTACCTTTTGGGGAGGCTGAGTAGCTACCAAAAGGAAGGACCCCAAGAATGCCTAGAGGGATGCTGGTAATCTTTCACATTCTGATTTGAGTGGTATCATGTGAATATGGAGAGTGGGGAGGCTCTCTGGCTATACACTGAAGATTAGCTCACTTTAAGTACTTTACCTTATACTACTACGATAAAAGGTGAATGAACAAATTAATGGATGTAAGTGTCACAAGACAAGTGTGATAAAAGGTGAGCAAATAAATGAATGAATGTGAGTACCATAATAAAAGGTGGATGAGGGGCTGGGGTAATGGCTTAGCAGTTAAAATCATTTGCTGCTCTTCTTCCAGAGGACTCCAGTTCAATCCCAGTACTCACATGACAGCTCACAACTGTCTGTAACTCCAATCCCAAGGGATACAATTACCTTTCCTAGCCCTCTTGGGCACTGAGCACACACATAGTACACAGACATACACACAGGCAAGACAGCCATACACATAAAAGTAAATAAATAATAAATAGTTTAAGTGAATGCATGAATAACAAGTACCATGCTAAAGATGAATATAAGTACCATGATAAAAGGTTAAGGAAATGTGAACAAATGATGTTCACATTTTCCATAGTGTAGTGGTTTATCACAGTCATCATGAAATACCTTGATAAAAGATGAATGAATGAATAAGTGAACTGATGGATGGATGGATGGATGGATGGATGGATGGATGGATGGATGGATGAATGGCCATGTTCCTTAAGCCACTTTGTCTCTTCCTTCCCAGTGTTTAGAACCCTGGTGTCCCAAATCCTGGACTGCTCGGAGCCTCTGCTTTCCTCCAGCCTCTCCTCAGAAGTCATCACTGTGTTTCAGTATTACAGCTTCTTTACCAGCCATGGTGTGAGTGACCTGGAGACTTATCTGAGCCAGCTGGCCAGGCAAGGTAGGATGTGGTCTCCTGTCATGTTGCCGCCGGTCGTGTCTCGGTCTGGCATCAGCTCTGGTCTTGCTGGTCAGGATTATTAGTGATGCTCGCCCTCCACGGTTGAGCTGAGACTTGCCTCTTTGGTGACTTCTGGGCCTTTAGTTTTAGCAAACTTCCTGGTGTTGGAACAGGATCTCACTGAGCACACTGGTCCCCAGCAGGGGTTCACCAAACAGGAAGTTGGCAGGGGATTGGAAATCCCATTGCTCTCCTTCCCTTCTCAGCCTGTTTGCAGTGCTATTTCACACTGCCTTTTGTGGTGGAATCCTTATTCAGAGTAGACAGACGTGGACTCCCGATGAAGGCTGGCGTGAGACAGTGGGGAGGGAAAATGAGAAAAGGTGGAAAGTACCAGGCTGCCCGTTCAAGGAAGGTGAAGGGGGTGATGAGGGGTGTGGCAAGCTCAGCCCAATCCTTTCACAGGGCACTTCAAATATTGTATATGTCCTCTCTGAGTAGAGGACCACACTCTTTGGGAAAACAGGAAATATCCGGCAGGGTCTGGTTTCTGGCTCTCGGTTCTATGCTCAATAAAGCCATGGAGATTTAGCAACCCGGGCTAAAGGGACGGGAGGGAATGGGGTGTGTTTTCTGGGACCAGGTATCATCTGGTCCAGCACCACACAGCAGCAACTTGTCAGGCTCAGATCCAGGTTAGCTCTGCTCTTTCCAGAACATTAAATCCTGCAGCAATGTGGGTGTTGTTTGGGATCCTGAAGGAGGAAACGTTTCTGTCTAGCATGGGACACATATGCTCTAGAGAAAGCCTTGCAGGTGGTGTGTCGGGCACCAAAGACCGGGTCAGGGAGACCCTTTCTTACAGATGCAAAGCCTCCTGGCATACGTGTGACCCTGGCTTGCCAAGGGTAGATCAGTTTTCTAGTCGGACATCTGAATTACTCAGGGGTTAGTGTGGCAGTTCATATTCCTGAGTCTCTTAGTGATAGACCTTGAAAAAACCTACTCATTCAGCAGTAGGAATGGGGAATAATGGTGGGAAAAAAATACCTTTTAACTTTTGGGAAATGTTGTGGTTGGTTTTGGTTTTGCTTTTTTGTTTGGTTTGGTTTGGGGTTTTTTGGGGGGGTTGTCTTTGGTTTGTTTTGTTTAAACTTTTATTTTTATCTTAAATTATGCATATATGTGTCAAGTGTGGCTTTGTGCGTGTGAGTGCAGTGCCCATAGAGACCAGAAGAGGGAATTGTATGACCCACCCCCCGACCCCACCCACCCCCACCCCCGCTAAAGCTAGTGTTTAAAGGGTTGTGAGCCATTCCACCTGGGTGCTGAGAATGAAATTCTCTGATCCTATGCAAAAGTAGTATGTGTTTGTAAATGCTGATTCACCTCTCCAGCCACTTGTTTTTGTTTTTGTTATTAGACAGGGTCTCTAGCCCAGACTGGTCTCAAGCTTACTATGTAGCCAAGGATGATCTTGAACTTCTGACCCTCCTGCCTCTATCTCCCAGGTTCTAAGATTACAGGTGTGTGCCACCATGCCCGGTTTATAGGATGTTGGAGATTGAACCTATTCACTTTGTATGTGTGAGGCTCTACCAACTGGGCTAAGTCACCGGCCCTTCCCTCATTTTTAAATGTCTTTTTTTTTTCTTTCATTATAAAATAGATAATTTTTGCATTGCAGAAAGTTTGGGAAATAGAAAATATATATTCAAATCTCTTTTCCCTACTTGTTAACTGTAGTTTTTCATTTGAACATGCAAGGTTTTAGATTTCAGAATTGTATCTTGTTTAGACTGGGCCTTGTTTGTTTAACTGTTTGTGTTCTTGTTTGTTCTTGCAGTACTGGGGGATTAAACCCAGGATCCCCCATACTGGACAAGCATTGTACTCTGAGCTAATGTCCCCAGTGTGATTGTTCCTTATAAAGTATTATATCTCGTTTTTAACTTAATATGCCTCATGCTGTTAATATCAACTATGTTAAAAAATTTTATTAGTTTTATATCGCCCTTATATTTGGATGTATCCTGTGTATTTGTATTGCCAAATGTTTTCTGTGACTTGTTTAACTGTTATTTAATACTCCCTTGGGGATTTTTATTGGTGTGCTTATGTATAAAGCAGTGGAACTAACAGACATCCACAGCAAAGAAATCAGGAAATTAAAGCAAAAATATCTGGATTATTCTCACCTTTATTCACTATGGGAAAGGTGTGACTCTGTTACAGGAGGTGAACTTTGGCTTTTCCTTTCCCATCTGTTTCCCACGTATTTCCCATCTATTTCCCATCTGTTTTGCATGTATTTCCCATCTATTTCCCATGTATTTCCCATCTGTTTTTCTTGTATTTCCCATCTATTTCCCATGAATTTCCCATTACTGAATAGACACAATCTCATCATTATATTTTAGAGACAAAGAGATATCTTTGCTGGATATCTAGTTAGGGGTTAGACTCCATTCCATATTCACAGAATACGGCCAGTTTGTCCCAGTGAAACTCAAAATCCTATAGTTCATCATATTGTCTCTAGATCCCTATCAATTAAATGACATCCCCTTCCAGTCCCGACCCTTCACCTAAGATTAGAGTTTTGGCATATAGTTTTGGCTGAAAGACAGGGTTAACTATAAATATTAAGAAGGTGGCAGATAATGTTTCTTTTTATTTTCTTCATTGTATATTTTTACATTTGACTGTTTAATTCATCTGTATGGTACTGTGTGATGAATGCCTAAAACCATAGCGTTTGGGAATAAGCAGGAGGATCAGAAGTTTCAGGTCATCTTTTATGGAAAGTTCAAGGCTGGCCTAGGCTATATGAGATCCTATCTTTAAAATATATATACATATATATATATGTATATATATATATATGTGTGTGTGTGTGTGTGTGTATGCCACCATTTCAACTTTACAATTTGCCTTCAGCTCATCATAATTATTTAAATTATTGACCTTTTCTCCCTAATCTGAAACACCACCTTTATCATAGACTAAGTTTTTATATACACTTGTGTCTGTTATGCGTATGCTTTCACTGGAGACATAAATGAAATGCTTGCGTTCTCCACAAACTTGTCACTGCACTATCAGAACCTGAGCTCTGGCTCCTCACCTTCCAGTTGCCATGGTTCAGACCCTGCAGTCCCTGAGAGATGAGAAACTGCTGCAGACGATGAGCGACTTCACACCCAGCAACCTCCCGGCCCAACAGGAAGTCCTCAGGACCCTGGCTCTGCTGCTTACCAGAGATGACAATGAGGTCAGCGAGGCTGTGACACTCTACTTGGCAGCAGCCTCCAAAAACGAGCACTTCAGAGAAAAGGTAGGACACTAAATCGCGGGTGTCAAGCCACAGGCTTAACTGTCAGTTCCCATTAACACACAGCTGGGCTCTAATCCCGGCACTCATCCTTAAGGCTGAAGCGGGAGTGTTACTGAGAATTCAAGGTAGGCCTATAACGAAGCTACCAAACGGTGTTACTAGGGTTACTAGCATCACATCAATTTTTAATATATTTCAAAATGACTGCAAAGGAAGAGTTCAAAGTTCCCCAATCCCTAGAAACGGTGAGTGTGTGAGGAGGTGTGAACACCAGAGGCAGATCTCAGCATCACACATCGTCATAGAAATGGTGAGTGTGAGGAGGTGTGAACACCAGAGGCAGATCTCAGCATCACACATTGTCATAGAAATGGTGAGTGTGAGGAGGTGTGAACACAGGAGGCAGATCTCAGCATCACACCTTGTCTTCAGTTATTGCCCTCCGCCCCAGAAATTCACATAATTCTGTCAATTAAAAGCAAAAATGGTATGGTTTTAAAATGAAAACCAACAAAGGAAAAAAAACTGATCACTAAAATAAAACCTATAATCATTATGTCATATCTTCCAACCCTGAGTCTACAATCTGGTAGACTATACCAATCAACTCTTTGAATAAACTTTTGAGATTTTGTGATTTTTTTTTTACCCTGAAAACTGTGTGAAAGGCCATGCTACAGTTTATCTCAGGTGGTAATTTTTATATTTATTTATACACATATATATTTTAACTAGTATCTTTCTGTACTTTTCATCATTTTTAGAATACAGAAATGGGTAACATTTTTTTCATTTCTATTGTTAAATCTGTTCTTTGATAACTTAGTGCACACATACAGTACATTCTATGTAACCCCACCTTCTTTTATCTCCTCCTACCTCTGTCATATCTACCTCCTCCCACAGCTCTCCTTCCCACATTGTTTCTTTCTTTAATCCATTGAGTTTCACCAGGGCTATGTGCCCATGGGTTTGGAACTGCCCAATCTAGTGGATGCACCATTCAGAAAACAGCTAAAGATAATATCTCTCCCCCAGAATCCACCAGCAACTATTAGTCAGGAGATAGAGTCCCACGAGCCCCTCCCTGATCCACACCTGGCAGGTCCAGTCTTGTTCAGGCCTAAGTACAGGCACCCAGCTGTTGCCAGATCATGTGTGCGATAGCTGTGCCGTGCCCTGAAGAGAGCGTTTCGCAGCCTTGTCTTCCTACTCTTCCATTCTTTTCTGCTTCCCTTTTCGTGGCATTCCCTGGTCTTTTGGTGGGGGGCATTGGATCCCTTGGGACTGAAGTTACAGCCAATTGTGAACTGCTATGTGGGTGGCTGGAATCAAACCTGGGTCCCCTGGAAGAGCAACCCATGTTCTTAACCTCTGAGTCATCTCTCCAGTCCTAGACTTCTAAATATTTGAGACAGAGTCTCACTATATAACCTTGCCTAGCTTGGAACTATTGATGTAGACCGTGCTGGCTTGAAACTCATCATGCAGACCAGGTTGGCCTCAAATTTGCCTCAATCTTCCTGTCTCTGCATGTACATTACACACAGATATACAGGGAAAGTACCCATGCACGTAAAACAAAACAAAAGGGGATTTTTAAAATTTATATATCACATATGAGAGAAGATATTCTATGCAAGGTCCCGCCTTTTCCAGCTCAGGGATTGAGGGGATC